CAACGACTGACTCGTTCTCAATCTCAGCGACGGAGCACTTGTATTGAGCGGTTGAGAACAAACATATGTCTGCGAACTGACGAACGGATACTTTGACTTTTTTGACCGTTCGGTTGGAGCTGTTGGCGATGTGGACATTGACGGCAATGTTCTCTCCGTGATGGTACAGCTCTTTGTCCAGCGATGCCTCCAAATGCAGTTTATTGGGACTCATCATGAATTCTTTGCTCACTTCAACGCTGGGCTGATCGCCTTGTTTGGAAGGCGCGTAAACCACTTTTCTGATCGCCAGTCGAACAGAATTCCTTTTGTGAGGCTTTTCGTCCACATTTTCGGCCACATATGCCTTAAGCTCGTAGTCAACTCCACAGGGCTTTCCAGTATCGCCGGGCGCTGGTTGTAGAGTGACTGATGCCGGACAGTGAGGTGGAAGCTGTCCATCAATACATGTAACCATTGTTATAGCATTTCACTTATATATGATAACTGTAATAATAATGAGGGATCAGAGATAACAAACCTCAAAGAAAAATGGAAAAGCATTTGATCCTAATTTTTTGATAAGTCTTTCCTGGAGTCGAGTGAGCGGTCTCTTCGCGGAATTGGTCTCTTCTTTAAGGGGAAAAATTTGTTCCGACGCTAAGTAGAGATCTTTTCTAAAAGTAAGCCCTAAAACGTCTAAATCTTCTCTCCCGTAGCGAAATGCGGCCAATACGTGCCCAAAGACTTTGCGATCCTTTAGGTAATCCGGATCTATCAGTACCACACCATCTGATCGTAAAATAGATGTGTATTATTAGAGATTAACCAACGAATAAAACTTTAATTATATTAATGAGATAATTGCCTACCGATAGGATCGACATGTGTTAAGTGATCGACAAAATCTCTTTTCCCCAAATAGACTGTTATCTGTAATGTAAGAACAAATTCTGTCAAACGTTTCCCTAAAATACATTTTGACTCAATATTTAAGTGTTAAGCGAAAGAAAAACATCACGAATAGAGACTTTACTGTTAGTTATTAATAATAAGTTATTATTAATATAACGGATACTATAAATACTTAGATTTTCTTAAGAATAATTGGGTTAAATGTAATAGAGTTTGACACCATTATTGCTCAAGTCTTCTCTAACATCATATCCAGTAGTGGACAACAACTCTGATTTTTGCACATTTATTACATTTAATAGAGTGGACTCTTGCAGTATATTCTACTTATGTTTTATATTAAATTTTTATACCACTTAATAATAATAGTGATTCTGTTATAGAGTATCTCAACAGTCATGTGAAATACATATGGCTATAAAATATGAAAATCTCATTTGTCTTCTGGATATCACTGATAAAACAACGAAAGCTATTTTTGCTTCACATGATTAATGCGATTGGATTATGATTACAATATAACATATAATTAGTTAATTATAATCTAATTTTATTCTGCAATTGTCATCAATTAAGGGATTTTCTATTCAATCTCATAACATATTCTAATAACATATACGTTATAACATATTGTAATAAAACAATTATCTAACGCAACAGACAAATCAAAAACTTCACACAATATTTCATTCCTGTAATTAAAATTTCTTAGTAATTGAATTGAGAAATCATTGTTTTATTTTATGTTTTATTCTTTGGTAAAATACGATTAGATGAAAGAAAACATATAATCCCTTTCTCTACACGCTTTCTGAGAGATTACGTTTGCCATCATTTAATCAAATGCTTATAACATTTTGTTTTCTTTTCAAACCGAAAAGGAAATTACAAACACTCAGAAAAAGAGAAGTTTATTTGAAAATATATATACTTTGATAGTAACTGACATCTAAGAAATCATTTCATTCTTTATATCCATTTATTATTAGATAATGTATTAATATTTGTTAATAACTTTGATTTATATAAAAGTCAGTTCACTCCACAGGTGACCCCAAATTCAATTACCACTCAATAGATGTATTGAATAATTGATAAGAAAAACGTGAATGAATGGTAAGGTTTGGTTAAATAAGTGAATGCTTGTGTGTGTTATATAACTGTATATTCTTTGGTAGAGTGCATGTTATAGACTGAGTTCTCAATTGGACTCAAAAGGTATGCAATGTATGAAATGCCAGAAATGTATATATATTTATGAAAATATCGATTCGCATATTAGCTGTTGCTTTGCTTAAACTTTTAATGCATTTCAGGGAATAATTGGCTTTTCACATGAGTAATGCTATTCACCAAAACTATAATGCTATAAGGCGTATGCAAGTGTCTAGAAATATGACCATAACTTCGGTGATTCTGGCCATTCGCCCGTTTTGACAATTTTTTATGAATCTCCATACAATACTGGACATGACCATATCAACCACGACTGGATCAGCTAGGTTATGTTCACTGTATTTCCTTCTGAGTTCTCAATTGGACTCAAAAGGTATGCAATGTATGAAATGCCAGAAATGTATATATATTTATGAAAATATCGATTCGCATATTAGCTGTTGCTTTGCTTAAACTTTTAATGCATTTCAGGGAATCTGTAATTCAAAACTGCGACCAAAATGAATGAAAACTTAACTCTCTTTTCATTTATGATTAGATAAACGAAAAAATAATCGATACTTACTTTGCCGTTGGGAGAGCTCTTCTTGAAGACCCTAATCGACAGTCAAACACATCATTATTATTATATAATATACTATTTATTAATGTATTATTTGAAACATATTTCGCTAATTAATTATTTGAAAATAATTTTAATATAAATGACAGTACAGTAAGAATAAATGCAATGAGAAGGAGGAATGAGAAAACAAATTAATAGCATTCAAAAATCACTATTTTTACTATTTATTGTAATCACATCATGCCTTAACAGTGCAGAACTCATTCCCTATTTGATCATATATTTCCACTTTCATATCAAATGAAATGAATTTAATATAAAATGTAAAACTAAAAGAAAAGAAAAGCATTGGATTTGAAACAAAACGCTGGGGATTGCGATGTATGAGCGAAGCATTCAATTTAAAATGACAGCATAAATGATTAAATTAATATAAATTGCACTCGATTTGGTATACGTTCAATATTTAGGACATAGAAAGATATTTTATTGTCAATATAACTCGCAATTCAAAACAAATGACAACTAAAATGAATAATAATGGACTCACGTGTCGAGTTGGATGAGGTTGGCTTCGGTGACCGCTTGATTCTGGCCGTCGAGAGCGCTCACCTCTCCGTCGGCATTCGTAGAGTCCATTGGTTTCGAAGGAGTGCTTAAATTATTGTCATCTGGTTTTGGATGCATTAAAACGAAAGGAAGTTCTGCGACCACATCCCCGCCCAACGGTCCCAAACAAAGTTTCACTTTAACCTTATACTGAACTATTATCCCTAAGTTCTCCTTTTGCGTCGGATCTGTTACACTGATTATAAGGCAATACACGTAAGAAAATTATCGATTCATTGGTCGTAAATGTGGTATACATTGTAGAAGAGGCTAAGTTCGTGTCCTCGTGCTTGAGCTGACCGTCCAGTGCGAGGCCTCGTTTGTCTTTATTATTAGCCAACAGAGGCTTTAAGTAATAAACTTTAGATAATGTAAAGCCCGGACTTATAGGACATCCATCTCTGA